GCAAATCCAATACTCAATAAAATGAACAACAATTCCAAACTTCTTCAATTAACACTTGGAATTCAATACAGCATTTGACCATAAATATCCATTCATATTAAAAAGGTTAATACAATACAAAAATGTAATCACCATTGTCTCATATCATCCATAGCATAAATATCTCATCAAAGTTTGTAGTAATCCAGTTCTAAGAGTAAAGCTAAATCCTAAATAAATGGAACTCACCACAACTTACCAATTACCAATATTGCTTAACTAAACAAATTAAAATCACAAATCTAACAGAGAAGCAGCAATAAATACTCTACTCTTATACATCTTCTAACAACACCACACAATGCATCATCAAGATCATCACGAAAAAAAAAAAAACCAACTGGGTGCATTAAACCATAAATATCCATTCATATTAAAATGTTAATACAGTACAAAAATGTAATCACCATTGTCTCATATCATCCATAGCATAAATATCTCATCAAAGTTTGTAGTAGTCCAGTTCTAAGAGTAAAGCTAAATCCTAAATAAATGGAACTCACCACAACTTACCAATTACCAATATTGCTTAACTAAACAAATTAAAATCACAAATCTAATAGAGAAGCAGCAATAAATACTCTACTCTTATACATCTTCTAACAAGACCACACAATGCATCATCAAGATCATCGCGAAACATAATGAACCCATACATTCTTTCTCACTGGTTTGAATAGACACAACTACAAACAACATCAATTTAAACCTCAGAGACACAGAGTTTGAGAGAGAACTATAACAAAGACATTCTTTCTCACTGGTTTGAATAGACACAGCCACAAAGAACATCAATTTAAACCTCATAGACACAGGGTTTGAGAGAGAGGGAGAGAGGTACTAGAGGGGGTTCGAAGCAAAGACGATGACGGTGGCTGTGGTGGTGGTGATATCCAGATAATACCTAATTAACAAATCAATTTTACTCTGTTATATGATGGAGGATGAGGAGGTAGAAATCAAACATGATAAAATGAAGTCCATAGTCACCACATTTAATCAGAAAGCAAACTGCTTAGAATGGGGGTCTAAAGCACAAAAATTGAAACAGCCTTTAACAATAAAATACTGAACCATAAATAAACCTTGACACTAACTAAACTCTGGTTGTTGAGAAAACTGAGGAAACGAAGAAAAAAAAATTAAAAAATAGAAGAAGAAGATGATTTTTTTATCTTACTATGAGAAAATGAAGCATTAGAAGTTCATATGTTCGCAATTAGAATCTCACTTGAAAATTAACCCTAATGCTTCGCAAAAACTCTATTTTTTGCTTTATCCGCAAGCCTTTCAAGCCAAAATCTGAAATTTCAAGCAGAAACTGAAATCATTACCCAACTAATCATCGCAGTTCGAATAAAATCAAAGATTAAAAGCAAAACTATGATTGCAAGAACAGCAAGAAAGTAAAGTGAGATCTGTTTGTCCCGACAGAGGGAAAATCTAAAAAGAAATCGTTTATGAGATCAATTGAAAGCAAGAACAGATAGCAAGAAATCGTGAGAAAGTAAAAAAAAAACCCTAGATCGAATTCAACAGAGTGAACACGAGAAAGTAAAATGAAAGCCCTAGATCGAATTCAACAAAGTGAACCATGATCGCAACTTGTGAAGCACAGTAGAGAGAGAGAGAGATAGAGAGAGGGAACTCAACGGTTCTCTTTTATGACAGAGTGATCTTGCCTGGAGAGCATCTTACCTGAAGAGCAGCAGTTTCGGGAGCGAGGGTATAGAAGAAGAAGAACAGGGCTGGAGAGTAGCAGTTTCGGAAGCGAGGGTATGTAAGAAGAAGAACAGGGAAGGAGAGAGAGATAAAGAGGGAATGGGGTGGGTGAGAACAAAGAAGGGAGGAGATAAAGATAGAATAATAGAGTGATCTTAAAGATAGAATGGAGATGAGACGTGGGTGAGTAAGAAGTTTAGTGTTTGGGCGAGAAGTAAATTGATATATATTTAAAGGGGCTCATCTCATCCATCTATCTAAATACACAAGTGAATCATGACCATTGAAATGTCCTAGTAGGACAATTGTCTCTAGAATAAATTCAAAAACCTTTCTCCCTTATTATATAGATTTATATCTATAAGTTGTCAGCTTCTTCTGGATATGCAATTTTTGCTAAGTTTTACAGTCACAGATGGACGCATCGGACCGTTACCGCTTCGAGCCGAGGTTGTGATGGAACCCTTAGGTCGAAGAATACTTCATCAAAGCATACGGAACTGACCATTTCGCTCGCATTTCGAAATCCCTAACGTATGCTCAAATCTTTTCTCATCGCATCTCATATTTTGTTCTGTTTTTCGTTTTTTCTGTTTTTAACTTTCTCCCTTATTATATAGATTTATATCTATAAGTTGTCAGCTTCTTCTGGATATGCAATTTTTGCTAAGTTTTACAGTCACAGATGGACGCATCGGACCGTTACCGCTTCGAGCCGAGGTTGTGATGGAACCCTTAGGTCGAAGAATACTTCATCAAAGCATACGGAGCTGACCATTTCGCTTGCATTTCGAAATCCCTAACGTATGCTCAAATCTTCTCTCATCGCATCTCATATTTTGTTCTGTTTTTCGTTTTTTCTGTTTTTAACTGTGAAGTCACACCTACATTCATTTGGGATGCTTTTTGTTTTGTTTTGTTTTTTTTTGTTTTTTTTTTTGTTTTACTTAAGCTTTAAGCATTTTACTACTAAGCTAATGTTTAAAATGTAAAATTGGAAATGGAATTGAGCTATTTTAGTTCAAAATTTTTATTAAGATAGCATCGAATACCAAATTGAAGTACTGGGTGTTGTGATCCAACATATAAAGGGCATGCTTGGAATTGGATTTTGAATTTTTGGGATTGAAGGAAGTGGGATTATGCGGAATCAGTATATTGCTCTTTGGTGTAACTTTTGAAACTCAGCTGGAATTAGTTTATAGATTTCAAAAACAATGTTTAGATGTCTAAACAAATCTTTTAGTATTGAATTGGTTTTGATAATAGTTTACCCACTTCGCCATTTTGAAGCTGGGTAAAATAATTCACCCTTTGGGTGTTTTGGGTTGTATACTTTATTATACTTGTCTATATTTTGAGATTTGCGCTATAACAGTTGGTACCTGTACTCAAGCACAACAAATTTATTACACATTTTTTTAGTTACTAAAATATCTACTATATTATATGATTAAGCATATCTATCACCCCTTGGGCAGCACAAACATCAAGTGTTGCTAAAACATGCTAAGACTTAGAGATTGTGTTGATGTAAGTATTTCTCTTTTATATCATTAAGTTCTTCCATGTTTAGACCCATGTTGTGACAGTTTGTACCTATTGATACTTAATAGTCATGCTATTTTCCTTTTCTTTTACAGGCAACTTTAGTCATTGTAATCGTAATTTTTTTCCTTTTAGTTTTCTGATATTTGAATGTGATGAATTTTTGGATGTATAATTTAACAAAATTTATCCTTTTTCAGTAGTTGTATATTCATATATACATATTTAAAATATTTTTCACCCTTTTGTGCATACATGTATTGCTCAGGCATCCATTTTGTTTTTTTTTTTTTTTTGATCGGCGAAAAGAAGACTTTATTGATGAAATAAATTGTAAACTACATCAATAAAGAGGAGGTTGGAGCTAAAACAAGCTCCAACCTCCTACTTGGTGAGAGACCAACGAGCAAAACAAACAGAGGAAAAAAAACCAGAAAAACCAGAAATATTATGCACAACAGCACCAAAACCAGAACAAGCAGTACAACACTCCTTTAAGCACCAAACAGATCAAGCCCTACAACAACCCTTCCAAGCACCAAAGCAGAATAGCAGCAGCCTTGAACTATAACCACCCTTCATCCAATCCAAGCACCAAGATTATTTAAACCAACACAGCTGCAAAACTGATCAAACAAATCAGACACAACAACATACAACCATGCAAAACAGATCAGGCACAATAGGACAGAACACCCTGAGCAACAGCACATAGCCATGAACAGCACAACAGCACCCAGCCATGAACAACACATCAAAACAGAACACCCACTAAATCAGATGCACCAGAACAGAACAACATCCAAAAACAGCAATACACAGGTTAACACCCTCAGTGCATGATGCAGAATTTCACATTTTGCAAATTAAACACCAAATCATCAAGTAAATAACATAAGGAAGGACTAGAGGCTCTAAACCACAATGCAATCCGTGTTTTGATAATAGCACACAACTTTTCAAAATCCAGTTGTGACTCATTAAAAATGATTTCATTCCTCTGCTTCCAAAAAGACCAAAGCACTGCCAGTGGGATTATCCTCCAGATTACCTTCAATCTGTTGTTGCATCTAAACCCAGTCCACCATTGAAAAAGACCAACAATTGAACCCGGCTGCACCCAAGATACACCCCACCATCCAATAATATGAGACCAAACTCTCCAACTGAACGTACAACACAGCAGCACATGAGATATAGTTTCCCTTTCATTCCTGCAAAATACGCAGTTAACATTAGAATTGGCACTTAGGATTCCAATTCTTTGCAAATAAGTGGAAGTCTTGATCCTCCCTTTCCATGATAGCCAAGCAAAAAATTACACTTTCGGAGGTGCAGCATTCTTCCAGATGAGATCTACCACTTTTGTAGGCATAGTAGATGGTGACTCATTCCACTTGTAGGCAGACGAAACAGTAAAAGTACCAGACCTGTCTGCAGCCCAAGACAATCCATCCAACACACAATTTCTGAGCTCTGGAGCAATTTGGAGCAACTCCTTCATCCTCCTCACATCTTCAAGTTCCCATTGGAACAATGCTCTTCTGAAAGACAAATCCCACTCCTCATTTCCATTACTCCTACTCTTAATCACTGCCACTGATATACCTTTATGCATAGACATAGAGAATAATCTAGGAAATAAATTCTTTAAACAATCACTACCAACCCATTGATCCAGCCAAAAACTTATGAGCCTTCCATCCCCAATATTAACCTTAAAGTTGGCCTTAAATACCTCCAGCAACTCTGGGCACTTAATAGCAACCCTTAAAATATCCCTCCACACCAGCTTTGGCTGTCTCTGAAAGTACACAAACTGGTCTTGTTTCAAGATGTCAATTACCTGGGCTAGACTATGTTTTGTTTGTCAAAGGTTTAGGACCACACAATATCAGTTATGCTCATGCACAAGACAAACCTCCAAAGGAGATAATTGTTAGCCGTAAATGCGCTGAGGCTGTGCTTCGCGGTGCTCAGGTAAGAAGTGTCTAGTAGTGCCTACATATCAACTATATTTGTTACTTCAAGTCTCTTTGTCAAGTACTTCTGAATGTTCCAATTTGTGTTATAAGCATCCTAGCATTTTCCTTTTTTCGATGATGTTCTTTATTTTTAATATTTATAGTCTTCAATCTTTTAATCTTATACTCCATTTGCTAGAAGTATGTGGGCTAGTGGACTATTCTACCTTAATTTTCTACCCTCAGTTATTATTAACTTATTTCCCCCCCCTTTATATGTATATATATATATATATATTTTTTCTCTTAGATTCCATGCCTACTTTGCGTGTTTCATTGAATATAATATTTCTTTCTCATTCAAAAGGATTTATAGTAGGCAAGGCCAGTGTTCAACAAAAAAATTCAAAACTATTGTCTAGGAAAGAAGTTGAGGTTTTAGTGTAAAGTGATATGATTATTTTATGCAGCTCACTTTTATAGAAGAGAAAGTCATTCAGTTTCATATTTTACCACTAGTATTACCTGTAATTATTTGTTATTTCCTTTGTTTATTTCTTCTATAAGTATTCGTATTGAGGCAACACAACAATATTGTGTATATTTCTCACTCTTACAGATGAAAAAATCATTCAGTTTCATATTTTACCACTAGTATTTCTTGTAATTATTTATTATTTCTTTTGTTTATTTCTTCTATAAGTTTACGTATATATTTCTTAGGTTTGTGGGGATTGCGGTACTTAATTTTGTCTTGAGGCAATAAAACAATATTGTGTATTCTCAACATGAACATCAATAACCCCCCCCAAAAAAAAAACACGAACTCGACAAGTTGTGATGACTTGGTACTCTTTCTTCTGTTTTCTTATATAGTTCATGTGTAGGTATATGTTTCTGGTGTATTGGCTTGCAGTGCTCACGTTGAGAAAGGGGATGCAGTTGTAGTATCAGTTGCTGTGGAGCAGCCTGGACAGGATGGTGGATGGGGCGTTGGTATGACACGTGGAACTATTCTACAGGGATTGCAGACTAGCAAGTCAGTTTCTACAGTTATTTACTGAGTACACTGAATGACCTTTAGCGTGAATTGTTTAATTGTTTGTTCTTTGGACCTTGATTGTTGGGATCTGAAACTTTATCCATGAAAATGACCATCAAAGTGACATTGGGCGAAATTCATTGGGTTATTAACTGTCACACCCCAAACCCGCACCTAAAAGTTTCGGCATGACCACCTCAGAACGGACATATAATACGATATATATATATATACAACATATGGGGCCTGAACGGAAGCATTTAATAATAACATAAAATAATATAAATTAATAACCATCGAGCTCACACCTATATGCCAGGATCTCAATGTGCCATTCAACAGTTCCTCATATGACAGACAGATATACAAGAAGCAGATATATGCATTCACACAATAACACATATGAGCATATATATACAAAACTAGCCCCAGACGTGGGCATACAACAAAAATATTGGTACAACAAATTATACACGACTAGTTACATTAGATAAAAGGTTAAGGACCAAAGTAGGGGTCATTGGGGGAACCCCACAAAATGCATAAGCTTCTCCACATGGCTTGACCAAGAAGGGGTGACCAAAGCCGAACTAAGACCGACCTTCAGGTTGATTGCCTACAGAAACAGACATAACACAAGGTGAGCAAGGCTCAGTGAATAATAGCACTCAACAATTTAATGATTGTACTTGAATTGTACTATTTATAACGTATGTAAGTGCGGAGGTCAAATAATTGCTTGTATCTGGTAAACATTTTCATAATGGTCTTGGGCCCAATTTTCATACAGAGAGACTTTAAGCCCAATATTATGCAGAACGGCCTCATGCCCAACAGATCCAACAGATTGGCCTCAGGCCCAGATAGTAACAGATTGTACAGAATAACTTCCAGCCTAATAGATTACACAGATCGGCCATAGGCCCAACAGATTATACAGATCGGCCATAGGCCTAGCAGATTATACAGAACGGCCATAGGCCTAGCAGATTATACAGAATGGCCTCTGGCCTAACAAAATATACAGAACGGCCTCTGGCCTAGATATTATCAGAACAGACTAGTCTCAGGGTTATACAGAGGCACACATATTCTTTCAATCATTCACATGAGTTTACATAGTTAGTTTGCGTTTAACAGGATACTAATGATAATTATTAGCAATAAGTAAAGCGTATTTCATAGATAGCACATGTACCCTTACAGTACTATTTGTAGGGACGAAACAATTCGCATCATAGCGTGAGTCATATAGCAACGTTATTGATATTCAATTCCTTCCTCAGGTTGAGTCATTCATAGGTCAATTCGATATTTAGCATGGTTTCTCAACAGTTACTAACATATAAAGAAACCCATAGCTCTATCTGATTATTCCTTCCGATGATCCATTCTAGACAGATATCCATGTCATAAGACATGTGTTATAGCAATTCTGGTTTTCCCTTTCTGTATCTGTTGTTTTCCAAACTTTGGTTCTGTGATGTTAGTGGTTGTATACCTTGTTGTCATCCTTTAATTCCACTTGATTGAGTTTTAGGATGTATTGGGCAGAGTTGTTACAGGTTGGTTAGGCTTTGGTTTCAATTCCTTGTTGCCCAGTTTTTAGGAGGTCCGCTCGAGCGGGTCTTCTTGCGCTTGAGCGGAGATTGCACACTCCCTATATTTTGGTGCTCTGCAAAACTTCTGCAAGCATGTTTTTCACACTCAAGCGGGTTTCTTTACGCTCGAGCGGGTACTCTAACGCTCAAGCGGGTAGTACATTTTTGGTATAAGTTTTGGGAGGGGGAAATCTAAGCTCGAGCAGACTGGTTTTCGCGCTCGAGCAGATGTACTTTATTCTTGTGTCTTGGCGCTCGAGCGGGTCTTCTTGAGCTCGAGCGGACCTAATTTTTTGTTCTTGACGCTCGAGCGTTGTGTTTTCTGCTCGAGTGAGAATGTCGTATATCAGAGGGCAGTTGGGCATTTTGAAATCATTTTCTATACTCCCACTCTCTCTCTTACATTTCCAAAATGTCATTTAAGAGCCTCTCTCTCTAGAAACTCTCTTCTCTTTAGGGTTTGATCTAGTTAGAGTGCTTCCCTCCCCTTTGGCCTTTGTAAAAGTTGTGTTGATCGTCGAGGGCTTCATTTTGATCCGTGGATCTTGGAGTTTGGAGCATTTTGATTTTCTTCATCCTCTTCTCTTGCGCTCCGAATTTGAGGTAGGGATTCCTACTCACTCTTATGGTCTTTGACATAGATTTTTGGTTGTTTTGATAAAGTGTTGAAGTTGGGAAATTTTGGGGCTTAGGGTTTCAAAATGTTAAAAAGGGGTTTTGTTATTTTGATTCTAAAATGTGTATTGTGGGTTTCAAAATAATGATATTATTGTTGGTTGTTGATATATAGACCATTGGGTCAATATTGGAAAATGGGGTAGAGAACCCTAATTGGTTGTATAAATTAATTGGTATAATTAATTTGGGAAAATTGTGGCTATATGGAATTGAGTTGGAAATAATGAAATTGGCTCATTATATAGTAGAATAGTGGAGTTGGATTTATTAATCGCTCACTTTTGAAAACATTGATATTTTATCTGTTAGAGCTTTTATTATCTATTTAGAAATGATTGCTTGGGCTACCGGTGGAGGGTAGTTTTGATTGTTGTAGACAATGCATGATGATTAGGCAAACTAAAACTAATCAATTGGATATATCATAGAGTATGACGGTTGATAGAATACATTAACGTTATGTATAGATTGATTGTGTATATGACCTATGTGTGTATACATTGTGTGTGTGGGAGGAGATAGAGGATGTACTCCACGGTTTAGAGAAAGATAGGGGATGGAATTCTAAACCGGATGTTGTTTGGGAGGAGATAGGGGATGGACTCCACTGATACAGCTCATATGCTTGTCAGTTAACGTGTTGATATAGCTTATATGCTTATCTATGGAAGTGTTGATACAGCTCATATGCTTATCTTTGGAAGGGTTGATATAGCTAATATGCTTATCTGTTGAAATGTGGATACAACTTTTATGCTTATCTGTTGAGATGTTGATACAACTAGTATGTTTATCTATTGTAAAATGGGAAACGTTTAATATGAGTCACTGTCTCATATAAGTGGTTGGCCAGATTCTGAGCTGTTGATGTAAATTGTGAAATTGATAAGAAATGGAAAATGAAAAGAAACATGAACACAGTGGCCATGAAATGGAAATGGGTTATGAATTGATTTATGGAAATTGAACATTTATCAATTGCTAATGTCTTAGTTACTGCTCATACTATGTTTAGCATATCTCTACTGGGCGTTGGCTCACCCTATATGGGACATTATTTTTAGGTACAGGTAATATGCCACCTCCAAGGACATAGCTTGGATGATGATGAGAGTTAAAGACTCTTTTTATTTATTTTGTTTGTATTACATGTATATCAAGCCAAGGGCTTATTTTGTATAGAGTTAGTACTCTTCTTTTGTGTAACCAGGTGTTGACTTGGATAGCTGTAAGCCCTTAGGGCATTTGCTTTTGTTGTTAACATGTAATACTGTTGTTAGAACTACTCTAATGAATAGAAATGGTTGGTTTCTTTTATATCAATGCATGTCTAAAGTGATGGGTTTTATGTATTATTTTGAGGGCGTTACAACTTGGTATCAGAGCATACTGGGTTCGAATACTTTGGGTACGTGGGAAGTGATTAGGATCACAATGGGTTTGTCTCGCTTGATAGAGACTTAGATGCAGTGTTATGTGCTTATATGATAACATGTTTATGTGACTATGTGGGTATGGAATATAGTTTCTAGGATGTTTATTGGATCCTTGGGTTTCTGGAAGTCTTGTTGGAAAAACACTTGATCAATGCTGTTTCTAACCAGAACTCTATTAACGCCTCGGGACTATCATTATCCGGGAATGAAATTCGTAATTGCTTATGTGATTATGTGCTTACGTGGTGTGAATTACAGTTGTCCATGCCTTAGGACGTGAGTGTTATAGCTTCGGCACATTTGTGAATGTGCTAATGGTCCTGGTTACCTTTATTAGGATGTCAGGACGAGGACGTGGTAGGTGTGGCAGGTGTGGTAGGCAGGAGATGTCTTTACCGGATGATATTCCAGCACAGCAGGAGGGAGTTGGTCAGGCCAATGTGGCCGAGCCAGCGGGTCAGCAGGCTATGAGTGCCTTGGCCTGAGAGATAGCAGGAACTTTGGGTATTCTCAGCGCAGGGAATCAAGATCAGGCCCACGTTGCTGAGGCAGGGCCTTTCTTCTTGAAAAGGAAGTTTTTTCGGTCTAACCCAGACGAGTTTGTTGGGGATCCGAAGGAGCCACTTAAGGCTGATGAGTGGTTGGAACAGATGGAGAAGACATTCGAGATGCTTGGCATCGACGGGGCTTTAAAGGTGACCTTGGCATCCTTCCAACTGAAGGGAGATACGGGTCAATGGTGGAAGTACGAGAAGGGCAGCGTTGGGGGTGCATGGGAGGCTTTTGTGAATACCTTCCAGGAGAAGTTTTTATCTTCAGCTGCTAGGGAGAAGTTGAGGGAGCAGTTTTGCCAGCTTAAACAGCAGGGTTTGTTTGTGGCCGAATTTGAGGCTACTTTTACAAGTCTATCCAGGTTTGCACTTGAACTTGTGGCATCCGAGGAACGTCGTTGCTTTGAGTTTGAACGGAAGTTGAGGCGTGGACTCAAGCTGAGAGTTAGAGGGTCCTTTATCTGGGAGTACAGACGTTTGGTTGATGCTGTAGCTCATATGGAGAATATGATGCAGGAAGAGGATTAAGGGCAGAGAGGCTCCAAGAGGAGCCAAGATGGTCAGGGTGACGGCAGGAGACAGAGGGGTTCTAACCCTCAGCAATCTTAGGGTGGTTTGGCTAGATCGACCCTTCCAGTGCCGAGTGCGGGCTCTGGGAGAGGTAGTCAGGGAGGCTTGACTTGTTTTGCGTGTGGCCAGCTGGGTCACAAGTTTTCGGTTTGCCCGC